ACTTCGATCGATTCGCGGTGATTTCGGCTATGCTACCGACTGCACCAATTAAGTGAGGCAACAGCGGACTTGCTTTTTGAAAAACTAATTGCAAAATGGAAAAATGAATGCACAAAGAGATGTGTATACAAGTAAATCTAAAGTTTGACTGCGTTTGCCGTAGTGAAAAATTAAAATGATTAAGAAATCTCAGTGCTTGTTCGACATCCCGAAAACCAGGGAAGTTGAATTCTTTATTCTTTCTAATTTGACAATTATACAATTGCATTGAAAGTTGTCACAGAACTAAAATTACAACGGTTACAAACACTACAATTGAAAGTTAAAATTCAAAAGTTACACATTCACATTCACTGAGATATGCAGGTAATAAGTAATCACACTTCCCTATGAGAAATTCTTTGTTTCTAAGAAAACATTTATAGAATTATATTGAAAAGTTCTTACAGTACTAAAATTTAAATCGTTAAAAACACTTCGATTAACACTCAAAATTGTATGGTTACCAGCATTCATTGAGATATTCACTGACTGAGTAGTAACACTTTTCTATAAGGAACTGTTTCAATGATTTTTTGAATACATATAAACTGTCAATGGTTTTTATATGAGGTGGTAGATTATTGAACAATCTAGGGCCCATGTAATTTGGAGATCGATTGCTCAAGTTTAACCGGACTGATTGAAAATGCATATCTTTCTTGTGCCTAGTATGATAATTATGCACATCATCATTGAGAGTAAATTCCTTTTTGTTACGAAAAACATACAAACATGCTTCATATATGTAAACACATGGCATTGTCAATATTCCAAAGTTTGGAAACAATTGTTTGCATGAGTGAGTGTACGACACTCGTGCTATGCAACGAATACTCTTTTTTTGTGCTATGAACACTTCAGAAATCCTTGTCGACATACCTCACAATAATATGCCGTATCTGATTTGAGAGTCAACGTATGCATAGTAAAGATTTATTAACTGTATTTTACTTAAAATATTTGGCAAGTTCCTGAATAAATAGTTCATTGAGTGAAGCTTGGAGATAATATGTCCACATTGTGCTTTCCAGTCAAGGTGCTCCTCAATATAAAGACCAAGGAATTTCATTGTCCCAGTTGAGTTTCGGATGAACTAGCAGAGTCCTTGGCTAGGTGGTGAGACAATTCATGTTATATAATACATCCATCAGAATTTGAAGAAATAATACACGATTATTATAGTGCTTCAAATTGGATTAAATTGATATTTTTTGAGTTTCTAGAATGTAACGTTGGTAAAACTGCATTTATCATGCGATGGGTTTTTTTTTTCTAAAATTTTTTTGGACTCACCTATTTTTGTCTGAAAAACACGAATTTGAAAATAAAAATGTGAACAAACCATTATTTATTAAGATATTTCACTATGAAGTTACAAATTTTATCTTCTTTTCCGTCTTCTGGATCGCATGTAGAACAATTTGCCCTTCTTTTTTCATCATTGGACAATTTATATATATATCAAAATGTACGACACATTTTTTTCTATTAAGTATATGAGTCAACTAGAAATATGATTTTCTTGTGATTTATCCATATTTAGTGAAAAAAAGAAAGAATATCATTTGAAATAATAGCGTGTGTAATGTAATACGAAAGCAAACTGTTGACATTTGATATCTCGTATTGAGATCGACTATTGATTAAATGACGGTCATCTGGTGTGCTTGTTCACTAAATATTTTTCGAAAATGTGTCATTGAAGTACATCATGAGTATATAAAGTGTCCAATGACAAAATTTGAAGAGCAAGTAGCTGTAAATGCATCCAACAACAACAATTTCGAACTTTTTCTTGAAATATCTCGATAAGTAGTGGTTTGTTCACATTTTCATTAGCAAATTCATGTTTTCCAGACAAAAACACGTAAGTATCAAAAAAACATTTCGAAAAAAAACCATTCGAATAGCCCGAGAGGTGACTCACTTCAACAAAGTGTGTAAACCAGATTGGATATTGTGGCATTTGAAGAAGTTTTGATGAGATTTGTTGTAACAATCCCTTCATTTTGCAACGATTGGGAGATTCCTGGTGATCTTCAATATATTTACATGGGACTGTCAAAGATTTACAAAATTGCACGGATCATTACAACATTTGCAAGAATTTCAAGATTTGAAACGATTCTTCTGGTTAAATAATTTGACAACATATGTTTTTCTACTGCTATATATAACACAAGCTTGCTCTTGTGTTACTGTGTTCGATACATCAATGATGTACTTTGTATGTCATCAATTTTATTTCCGTATCTAATAACACAATGGCTCCATTGCGATATTATATCAAGAAAATCTCATCGCTCATGGAATGTCAAATTTCAAGAAATGACAAGCCTAATAGATGAGCATTACTTGACAGGAAATGAGATGGCTACAAGACGAAGGAATCGAAAATGCCGCTGTTATCTATTATAGCCGTAGAAAATGCTGCAAACTTCATTCTCGTAGGAAATCATAATCATTCTGTGCTCGTTAAACAATATACTATTTTTTCCCTCTCAAGGTTGGCGCAGTAGCGGAAGAAATGTATCTTATATGTAAACTGATTTTTGTAAAATTTACATAGTGTTAGCGACGATGTTCAAATCACCCCGTAATTGAGAAGAACGCCTAAGGAATGCCTTATCACAAGCAGCCTCGACGATTCATCGGTATTCGGAATCATCGTGTGATCGGAGATAGAAACAGGTTAAACAAGTCTATTCTTACAAAGAATACAACTTCTGCTTTTTTAGTTTTATTGAGAAATTAAGGTTATGTTTCTGTTCATGCTGCAAGTGGAAGAACTTCAAAAATCTGTACTTTAACTATACTATTCTAAATAACAAACATCATACATTAAATCCACACAAATGACATAGAATCCTGTTACAGCAAAGCATTCAATTAAGCTCATCTATCATGGGTACCTTGAAAGGCTTGCTGTTACAGATATTTTGTACTTCAAGTGATTTTCCTGAAGAATCCTCAATTACTTCATAAGCATTATGATTGATAACTTTCTGGATTGTACATGGACCCCGGAATAGCAGAAAGAACTTACGAATTTCTTTATTTTCAGCAGAAGATGTATCATGATATCCCTGCGTTCCAAGTTGTACACTTGAAAAGATTCAAATTTCACTGCTTCACTACTTCTACTTCTTTCTTTCTAATCTCTTCTACTCAACCAACGTTGGGCGCCAATTTGTGCCAATGTAACAAGTCTATTCTCACAAAGAATACAACTTCTGCTTTTTGCTTCTTTATTTAAATCTTCAGGGGGTACAAACGTAGTTTTTAGAGTTGGTAGAAAATCTCACGTCTCTAGACGTCTGCCCGACATCTCTCTCCAAAAACCCTCTCTAACCAATTCTCGTTACCTGACAACCTGACACCTAGCTACCAACATAATTCAACCTCCTACCATACAGGATGTATATCGACCATGCTACACAGGTTGAGTCGACTACACCTTTTCCAGATGTATTTCAGAAAGCGTCAATTCAATTTCAGAAAGGGTCAATTGTATTTCAGAAAGCGTCAATTGTATTTCAGAATAGTCAATTCAATTCCAGAAAGCGTCAATCGTATTTCAGAATAGTCAATTTAATTTCAGAAAGGGTCAATTGTATTTAAGAATAGTAACTTGTATTTCAGAAAGCGTCAATTGTATTTCAGAATAGTCAATTGAATTTCAGAAAGCGTCATTTGTATTTCAGAAAATATCATTTGAATATCAGAAAGCGTCAATTGAATTTCAGAAAGTATCAAGATCGAATAGTTGCATAGGATGTTCAGTGATTCCTGTAGTGATTTTTTCAATTTAATCACCCCAAATTGGTTTTTTATGTACCTTTAGGTACCTATATACTATTTGATGAACAAATAACAGAATCTCAGGTACAGGGGACTATCATAGATACACTTATTTCTATTGCTATGAAAAACTTCTGATTTTTACATGTTTGTCCAACAGGAAGTGACTGATGGCTGTTTCATACTGTAAAATAGGCTTCTTAATAACATTTACAAAATCAAGCTCTGTTGCTATGACGTTGAATGTCATGATATTTTCACGAATTATAAAGTTGTCTGGCAGGAGAACACACCGTGGAAAGTGCCTGGCAATTGTATATTCTCTTTCATGATAGGATCTGATTGAATAAAAAAAGATCAGCTTTTGTTGAAATGATGTTTTTGCCAGTTTTTTTTTTTTCGTACTTTCACACCCGGTATCTCTTGAAAGCCCATCCAGTACTGAAGATTTTTAACACCCAAAACGATTCCACCAAATAAGATATAACACAGATAGAAAATATCAACCTTGTTGAAATGATGTCTGGTGGTCGCTGGCTTTCAGTCTATCGAGAACGATTTCTGAAATTCAATTGCCTATTCTGAAATACAATTGATGCTTTCTGAAATTCAATTGACGCTTTCTGAAATTCAAATGATACTTTCTGAAATAGAATTGACACTTTCTGAAATTCAATCGACTATTCTGAAATATAATTGATGCTTTCTGAAATTGAATTGATTGTTCTGAATACAATTGACGCTTTCTTAAATTGAATTGACTATTCTGAAATACCATTGATGGTTTTTGAGATGCAAGTGACTATTCTGAAATACTTTTGACGCTTTCTGACATTGAATTGACTATTCTGAAATACAATTGACGCTTTCTGAAATAAAAGTGACTATTCTGAAATTAAATTGACGCTTTCTGAAATACATCTGATGGAAAAGGTGTAGTATCGTAGCTTCAGAACGAATCACTTGTCGATGTTATATTTTCATAAACGGTCATCTTTGTACAGGCCGTCCAGAGTGAATAAAAATGTGTGTTGAAATTGTGTCTATCAACGAGGTCTCCATTTAAAATCTTCTACTAGTATTTTCTCTCTGTATATCTTGTCGTTTCTGCAGATCCAACGTTCCTGCGTGCTGAAGCAGCAGCACACCGTGGACAGCTGCAGGAACCTGTCGGCCGTGCACTGGGAACCGCCTCGCCGCGCCTCGTTCTCCGTGCCGGCGACCACCCTCCCGACTGACCCCAGGAAAATCGCCTCGTTCGAGGACGCCTCTGCGGCGTCAACGGGCGCCCGGCGGGCAGACGTCGACGACGGCGCCGTGGAGGAGGAGATTGAAGCGTCCCGAGGGTCGGTATCGGGGCCGTTGAGGTGAGTTCTAATGCAACTTATTTGACTCATCGCCCCACGCGTCTCGCAGTCACCATTGATTTACAATGAACTCAATATAAACATATACCCAGCGAACATTTTGATATGGGGCATCAATGGCCTAATAAATGTTTTCCATACCTGACATCAGCGGCCCCAGTAAATGGTCCCATCTGCGGGACTCTATATATCAGTACACTGCGGCCGGCAGCTGGTCCCAGTGCTGGGTACCCATCAATCATATTCAGTTCCTCGGCAAAAGGCCAGTACAACAAAATCGACACATTGAGTTTTCCATACATAAATGATGGGACTGTAATAACCAATTAACGACATTAGTTACATTCTATCGAGGAAGGGAAGGGGTAGGGGTTTTAGGGGTCCAATGGATCTGAAAGTTCTAGTACCTCTTTATTTCACAATATAACTCTCTCATCATAAATCAGACACATACCAGATATCGAGTAATCAATTTTATGAATAACACAATGATATCTTCCCCAGCGAGCACAAATACATCTCAGAGATGTTAAAAGTACGAGATGTTGAGACATAGAACCTCCACTGCGATGTTCTGTTCATTCAGGAATAGAACTTTCATAGAACAGCCATTGTCCGCCGCAGGCGGCGTTTATAAAGATATTCTTGGGATGTCACAAAAATACATTTTCCCTGTTTTTTTTATAGACTTTTTCTGGACATAACATAACTTTTTCCAAGCGTTTTGCGCACATTCATTCGCTGCAAATAAAACATTCCTGGTGGATATATATTTAAGAAAGGAATAAAATTAAAAAAAAGCTCTTACCCACTAGGGATTCGAACCTACTCTATAGAGATTGAATTTTTACAATCCTACCTTGTCCACTGAGCCATGGGAACCGCGTATTAATGAATGGTATGAATAGAAAGATATGTCAACATGCACTTAGTAAGATAATACTTATTAGCATTGAGGCTGAGAATGAGGGTGAGTCAGAAGAAACATTATAAATATTGATACAAGAATAACATCCATATCATATTTTGATACGATTCTGTATGTCGAATTGAATGTTCATGGAATATTTGTTGCCAGGATGAACATATTATTCTATGATCATTCTGAGCAGAACAGAACACGTTTTCAGAATATTATTCGTAAAGTATATTCTGGTGCTGTTTATGATACTAATACGTGCTATTACGAATTATGGAGGTCGTTGGTATTATAATTAATACCTAATGGAATGAATAAAAAAGACACTGCAAATCGAATGCGAACAAGAACAACATGCAAAATCGGAAAAAAATTAGAATTCATCGTATTGTGACGTGAGCATGAGAAATTGTGGTGGGGCAAACAAATAAATGGCTCAGAAGAACAAAAACAATAATTTCAATATCCTTCAAAGACCTCTTTGGGAAGTTATATTACGTCCCAAAAAAACATCCGCTTGCCAATATTTTTAAAAGATCCCAAAACATACCTCTCAGTAGGCACACAAAGAAATGCCACAGAAGAACAAAAACAATACTTAAATATCCTACGAAGACCTCTTTGGGAAGTTATGTTTCGTCTCAAAAATACATCCTCATGCCAATATTTTTAAAACATCCCAAAACATCCCAGGGATACCTCTCAGTATAGGCACACAAAGAGAAAGAAATGCCACAGAAGAACAAAAACAATACTTTAATATCCTTCAAAGACCTCTTTGGGAAGTCATATAACGTCTCAAAAATACATCCTCATGCCTACATTTTCAAAACATCACAAAACATCCCAGGGATGTTTGTGCTCGCTGGGTCTTAACCTCTCTGTTCTTCAACGATGAAACTTCTCGGAGTGACTGCTTACTGGTTGGTATGTGGTATCTACATCTTATTGGGTAGCATGATGAAGCAACTAGAATAGAATAGACATTTCGGAAAGAAAAAAATATCAAAAACTGAAAGTTGTTATGGAACGTTCGAATTCATGACACATTTATGTGGAATCGGAATAGAAACACTTTTTCTTTGTGAACTTTTTGAAATTCAAACGAATAAGCCTATTTTCAGCGATTAATTTGAAAACATGTAACTTCTGACCAGTAGCGAAAGTCACGTGACCCCAACCGAGTATTTCATTTTCCGTATTTTTAAAGCAAAACTCAACGAACAAAACGTATTTCGAAATAAATTATCATCGACATTTTTTCCCATGTGATGCCGACTTTATGAATTACACTGTATATTTTTTCAAAATATTTGAACTAGACGTTTTTCCTTCACGTGGATTTATATGAACCTTGACATGATGCGCGTTCCATATTCGGATGCATGAAAACCCATCCAACTCCGATGCTCTTTACAGTCCAGCGAACACCAGCGGTGCTCCCACCATAAGCGTCAGCTCCGTAACGGACGACCGTCTCGCCGGCAAAGCGGACGACGCCCCAACTGAAGCGACCGCTGACGACACCTGCCAAAAACCGGTGGAGGGGATGAGCAAAAAGCCGATGGCGCCGCTCGCAGAGCCAGACGCCGAGTCGCCGTGCAGCGAGCAGCCGCCTTCCGAGCCCGGCGACGAGCTGCTTCGCGAGGGAGACGCAGAGGGTGAGGCCAAGAGCAACGATGTGTGCCCTTGGGAAGACGAGTAAGAGATGTAGTCACTTTCCTCGGGGTGTATGAAGTGGGGGTGCGGGGTTATTGGGCACGGGGTTTGGACGCGGTGCAGTGAAACGAGTAGCTGAATTGATGGCCGCCAAAGAAGGCATCCAAGGGATGGCCTTCTGGTACGTCCTCGGGATGTACCAAGTACGATATCACCAAATTCTGAACATTTCTCCAAAAAAAGTTTTCCTTCAGTTGAAGTTGTCGATGATTTCAACGCAATATGAATCCATTTTCCAGAATGTGTTCCGTCGTATAGAGTGGCAAAATACGTTGAATGTGTCTTGCATAATTTTAGAATCGAAAATGATGCGATAAAAGCCTGAAAATGAGAAATTATCGATTCTGAACATCCTGTATGAGGAATATGGAAAATTACAAAACCGTTTCGAGATATTGGCTTGAGCGTTCGAAAAAAATGATTAGTAGAAAAATAAAAAACAATTCTCTGGAATACGGAAGCGTTTGAATTCTCCCATTTTTGTAATACTTTTTTCGAACACTTGGTGTATAATGACAGAAAGATTCCCGACGAGTTTTGAACGGAGAATCTTGAACAGAAAAATCGCAACTTCCAAGTACTGCATTTCGATTGAAAATACATTCATTTTCTAAAGAGATATGGCAGTTTGAGAATTGTCAAATATTTCAGTGGTTCACTTGTTTCTTTGAGCACTTCAATTCAGTGGAATAGGGGTATATAGTATATGCACTTTCCGAAAAATGTGACAATGCCAGTTAGTGTCAAAGTACTAGACACAAATAATTTTCAAATTTCCGAATGAAACATCCTGTTACACAAACAGGAGACACATTCTATCTAGGTGATTCATTCAAATTTTGAGCTCAAGATTCTATAGTTTGAATATTTCCAATTCGAAAGTCTGACATTTGACATTATAAATGTTAATCTTGTCAAATACTACTGCACACATTATTTTTTGACAAGAATAACAGAATGTCAAATGTCTGGTTTTCAACAAGGTGCTCACGAAACAAAGTGACGAATCAGAATTCACAGAATTGATGAAATAAATATAGAGCATGAACATCATAAAGCAGAACATAATCATTCGCTTGCACTTACAGAAATTTGTTTCTTCAAGGAACATACAATCTCGGATCTAATAGCAAATATTAATAGAATTATAACAGAAGAATGCAAAGCCTATTTCCATCCCAATGAAACGCATCACTTATGCATTGAATAGCATGTGACACATACTGTATGGTAGACATGGCCAAAATGATTATTGGACCTCTCGATATTTAAATACGGATACGTTGGTAGAACAAATGAGACAGATGGTGAAAGAGAAAACTGTTCTCTTTCTAGTTCCTAAAAATAGAGAGCTCGATTCATCTGTGCCCTATAACCATTCTCAAATCATGCACTACCAATTATGAAAATATCCACTTCATACAAACCGAACAGGCACCGCATCGCACATCGCTATTGACAAAAATGAATTTTTGTGATGTCCCTTATGATTCTTATAATGAGAAAATCATCAAATTCAGAATATCGTTATTCTGGTGTGGTTTACATCGAGAAACTATGTTTCGAACTGATTCTGCTGTTCTACTTCAAACGTTTTTGATTTTCCAGTTATTGCAAAGCATATCTCAGTATTACTCTCCATACAAATAATTTATATGTATAAAGTATATAATTCAGCGGGAAGAAATAACATAAATGATCAGATAGTATAACTTGCATCTACTGTTCAATTTCTATTACAAATAATAAAATTTACAAAAATTAGGAACATATCATTATGATACAGGGAATGAAATAACAGTACTAACATTGAATAAGAAGAAAGGAGAAACAGAACAGAAGAAGTAAAGGAATTTATAAAGTCTGTCATTTCTGATTATCTCTCTCTTTTTTCATTAGGATATATTATTTCTTGCCTTCACTTCCGAACTGTATAATATTCAAATCATGAAAATCATCCATATCTCAAAGGGGCCCAAAGTAATTCCAAAAGGGAAACGAATTATTACATGAAACCGGTTGCGGCACAACGGCCATCATCAGACATAAAAAGTACCTGCAAAATAGTAAATGAGGCAATACAGGTGAAGAGAATTGGAATCATGAATTTGGGAGTTCCTTAATAATATGAAATTTGATTTGAGCTTTTTGATGATGGTATAGAGAATTTTGGAAGCATCTATTAGATTATGCTTTTCTGAAGAAAATGTGTATGTTTCCTCACACAGTTGATTTGTTGGAGTATCATAGATAGAAAAAGTATCTAAAATAAATCAAAAGTTTCAAGATGTCTACAAAATTCTTGGACATGTTCCGCAAATTATTCTTCAAAAATAATGTGATTCATTCGCGAGAAGATTCATGATACTCATTCAGATACACGATTCCAATCTAATTACTGAAATGGCAAGTTAATTGTTCTAAAATTGTTTTATCCGTCATACGGTTACCACCTTACGAGCAACCCTCAGAAGTCTTCAAGAGACTTGTGCGAGAAAGGAATGATGGGGGCCTTAAATTTCTGCAGCGGGGAATTGAACCCTCTCCGGCAAGCCAACGCGGATTAGAATACTGACGCTTCTACCACGAGGCTACCTGGTCACCAGGAATGCAGGAACCTTGAGTATATTGAAATCGTCATGAAATATTTATCTTATTTGTTATCGAATAACTAAACTGGGTATCCCAGATCTTTTAGGCCAGCATTCTGGGTTACCTAATATACAAAACATTTAAAAAATGTTGGAATTTATGGGAGTAAAATCTGTTCAAAATGATGTGATCGAATAACTCTTCTGTCGAATAATCTACTAGAAACCACACCTTTGATATTTCAAATTGCACCCAATTTTTTGTTGTTGTTGATTTTATATAACTTCCCATTCTCGATTCGACTTTACATCACGATCGATATAGCTTTATAGTCGAAATCATAAAGGAGTAAATGATTTTGCAAGCTTGTTATACTGTTTATTTTCCACTTGTCCATTACTACTTCACGATACCTTGGCAACGGTTGCTATTAAGAGACCCATAACGCCTGGAGAGCTATTAGACTGTTGGCCCGCGACATAGGGTTTATCGATGTTCTAAGTCGGTATGCCATTTAAGGGACCCACTCACTCAGTCCGAGTTAACAATGAGAAGTGCCTCGGAGAGTCGCAACCCAGTCCTTGCCCCGGCCCTGACCTCACCTTTCGGTTGGAAAAAATTTCAAAATTGTGTTTGAGAAGAAGCCCGGTAATGAAGTGCAATGATCTTATCTCACGAGAATTGGGGCGCTTGCCGGTTTGCATACGCCTAGGTCACTCCCCAAGGGCGGCATACGAACCGGAAGTGGGAAATTTTCAGTGATATAGTCGATGATCGAAGAATGTATGCCCTTTGGCGAAACAATGTATTCGGACCGATTAATCAGTTTCCCGACATTTGCATACGATTCCGGAGAGGGGAGCTCGACTTATTCGAACATCATTTGACTGGATATTCTTCAAATAATCGATGATCGAAGAAATGTTCAAATTTTGACCATAGTTAGTGGACCACAAAGTATATATGAGATGATGGTTTGCATACAATTTGCACATTCCGTACAGGGTGTTTCACCATAAATATCTCCCATTGTAACTTAGTTGTTTCTGAACCGATTTTAAAATTTCAAAAACCAATTAAAATGATTTTCCTAAGATTCACTGGCTGTTCATAACAAATGAACTATTGAGTAGTTGTTGATTTCTTTTTACTGAAACACTATACTCTACCTCAATATCGAGTTGAGATTATTATGACGAATACAGCTCTACAGCATCTAGCGATATCATTTACATGCAGCACTCTTATAGCGATCATGCGCCAAATTGTCAAATTGTGCCAGAAATATGAATCCCGGGTTTGAAGTATTTCCTTTTTTTTTTGCTGAAACAATTTTCATATCTGAACAATGATTTGCTGCAGCAGCCGGGTAGAGTGTAGCACGTAATGATTTAGTAGGCATTCAATAATGTTTTGTCATTTGTCGGAGATCCGATATTTAAATATCTCAAAAACCATTTACTTTTGTATAATGTATATTACAGATTTATTCACTTCTTACTGCCTTCCCTATCATTGGTATGAATCGGATTACCAGTAACCCTGTATATAAGTGCAGCGTGTGAATCTTATCGCTAAACTCAACTATACTGGGTTTGATGAAGTTATGTCATTGTCAGTTACATGAAAAATAATGAAGGGGGCTGGGCCCTTGATACTTTTTTTTTGGTACGATTTCCATTGGTACCTTGGTGAAGCTCTTCCAGCAGAGGTTGGTGATATCATAATCTCTGAGACTTCAACTGAGAAAGTATGAGGTATATCTTTCGATCATGCCAAGATTTTTCAATAATTATATTATAATATTCTTACTAACAGGTACTGATGACAACTCTGAAGAATCATCTTCAGACAACGAGAGCGAAGATGACTCTGAAGATAATGATAGAGAGGACGACGTATAATTTCTCCATTGAAATATAATGTTGTTCTCATTTAATATAATCTCATTTTCAAATAATTTCTTTATTTGAAAAACAAAAATGTAGATTGAAGTACAGGACCCCATACTATACCCAAAACTTTCAACAAACTAAATGTACATTCTTTATTATTTTTCAGACGCCAGTATTATGATTAGCAGTCCCATAAGCCCCAGGAAGAATTTCAATTCCATTTATTGTGAGTTTCGATCATGAGCAATAATCCACCCCTCTTCTCCCTGTACGATCCCTCTTGATCATCTTGCGAGTATCTTGTTGTCAATTTGTTTCATCATCTTTTCAAAGCCATGTTTTTCAAATTAAAATCTCACAAAAAAAATTTCTTGGTACTAAACCTCTCACACATGTAATTTTGTTGAGCTGTAAATTTCTGATGGATAAATACAAATATATCTGCAATTTACGACTTCGAATATCCCCATCACTTCCAGGGAGTTAATCTTTGACCCGG